AAGCTGCAGTTCTTACTCGTGATGAAGATGGTTTGGCCATTGACCAGAACGGTGAGGTACACGAGCCTGCATATTTGAACAATCAGACTGGTGATTACAGCGAGGCCGATAATTGGTATTTGGTGCAGACCAACTACGATCGCTGGGAGGCCGATCCGATTTCTGATCCTAGACGTACTGTTGCTGAGAACTGTGTGAAGGAGCATGGTAAGACTAACGATATAAAGTCTACCTGGGATGTTGTCATGGATTGCTCCTTTTTAAGCGGAGTCTCTACGAATCACACTATTTATACCTCCATTATGGATCCCACATATGGTGACTTCTCCACCTATATTCGTTATGATGCTGATGATGCTTGGAACAAGAACCATCAGTGATATATGATGCCATTCGTGATATAATTGTGTCCGCCATTTCTCAAGGTGACTATTGTCGTCCATGCCTTCAGATATACTCATGGGTGTTCTGCACTCAATAAATACTACTGGATTCATACTCACTCCTATTAGAGGAGTACATCTACTCAAGTGCTGCTAATAGGCAGTACTTTTTCGATCAATTATCCTTTGCCGAGTTCTTAATACATGGGACAATGATGATTATGGTACATAGTATGGGAAACTTTAGATTTGTTGGGGAATATCTTGCAGAACACATCTCCTGCGCTTTGAAGTTTGTGATCACCAGTGAGTATCGCAAAATTGTGCTGTATGCCCGAATCTCTCACTGGTTGGATTCATTAACCGTGGCGATTAACACAACGCTGTTCATGACTGTTCGTGACCACTGCAGGATGCACCTGTTATGACAAAAATAAGCAGGCATGGACGACTGAATGCTACCATCAGTTCGTACACATGCACGGTCGGAATGACCCGGATCGAAGCATATATCTCCGCTCGCTCCGCGAGTAAGAGCAACCAGGTGCTCGTGGAAGGAGCGCACTACTTCGGTATATACAGCGACGTGATAACAACGCGCGATATAAATTATATCATATAATCGTCTTTGAATTTCAGTTCGGGAGTGGCAGTCGATTCGGAGTTCGACAGGATGAACTGGAGATACGTAAACTCCTAGGAGGCTCTCGTCCCGAGATAAGATGTTAAAATAAGTGACTACCTACTAGGGAGCCTTCAGTCTGTTTCGATCTCGAGCACCCACAGCGGAAAGCCTCTCGGCTGGAGCTGATAGTCAGCATAGCGAATGTCGCGAATGCACAACTTACCCCGGTGTAGGTAATTAACCTCACGAGAGAGACCGATGGATCCGACAAGGGACCGTTGAGAACAACAAGTTGTGTCAACAATCTAATCTCAGTGATCGTCCTT